TATTATTAATATATATATATATATATATATATATATATATATATAATATAATTTTATTTATATATATTAATATTATTATTATATATAATATATATATATATAATATAATAATATATATTATATTATATTATTTACAGTATATATATATTATATAATATATATATATATAAACTGTAAAGTTATTATATATATAACCATAATATAATATACCATAATTCAATCATGCAAAACAGTTGCATATTTTCCTCTTGCATGTGCTTGGTTTCTTACTTTCGTAAGAAAAACGGTAATTGTAAAACCAACGTAAACAGTAAAACGTAAAACGTAAGAAACCTAAGTCGAATGAAAATGTCTGTCCACTTTTAAGAATCGCAATCAGTCGAAAACAACCTAACAATATCTTTAAATTCCCCTAACGACTTTACAGTTTTATATTTGACCTGATTAATTTCGTCATGAATGCATAAAAAATTTATAATCCAATAATATTACAACAATATTTTTAACCTAATAATATCCTTAAATTTCTCTAACGCCTCTACAGTTTCATATTTTACCTGGTCAGTTTTGTCGTGAATGCATAAAATCTGCGGATTAGTAGTCGTCAAATGTCGCTAGGATAAATAAAAAAAAAGAGAGGTACGAGGAAAAAGCCTTTCTCTTCTGCAACTATGCGATCCTGGTTCTGCTGTTTCTACGTAAGGAAAATTCTTGTTGAACCGACTGAATGTCGTAAGTAAGTTCTTACAAAGAAAGCTTGAGAATATTTGTACTTTTTTTGGTATTGAACAAAATATAATACCATCGGCTGCATAGTGAAAATTCTGAATTGGCTGATTCAGATGATAGCATTCGTCTCATGTCCTAGTATCTTTTCCATCAAAGAAACACATGCTCTGCCATCAAATTTCATACTCGAAACTGCACAAAGGTCGATTAAATATGCGAGAGTGGAGACGGGCGAGGCGTTGGCCATTACCAAATATGATTGTGTGATTTATCAAAACGGATGTTCGACGTAACCCGGAACTCTCTCCTAAATGACGTTAACACACGTTAGCATATAACACTGTCTTAGAGACCGAGACGAGGTTAAACAGTAAAAGTTGAGCCGTTTATTTTGAAAGTGGTTGAAAGTGGACAATCGATAGCATTTATAAGTTAACATTAAAAAATATAATCAAATAAAATCTCTATCTATTAACAGAATTTCGTCTGTTTCTTACAATTAAGACGGATAATTTGTATTTTGCATAAAGACCACAGTCTAGTATATAATCAGTAGAAAACGAAATAGAAACATTTGATTGAATTAATAAATTTATTATACTTTACTTCGATCACCCAAGCTTCCATTCGTCTTAACGATATTTGAGCCGTTTATTTTGAAAGTGGCATAAGTCACTTTACCGTAATGAAAAGTGGTGATTTTTTAATGTTTATACGAAATTATTTATACTGAGAAAAATATGGATGCTAACTTTCGAAGAGATTTACTTGTATTTGTTATCTCAAGGTACTGATATTTTTCTCAGTATAAATAATTTCGTATAAACATTAAAAACTGTCTCTTATACACATCTATATATATATATATATCTCTCTCTTATACACATCTATATATATATATATATCTCTCTCTTATACACATCTATATATATATATATATCTCTCTCTTATACACATCTATATATATATATATATCTCTCTCTTATACACATCTATATATATATATATATCTCTCTCTTATACACATCTATATATATATATATATCTCTCTCTTATACACATCTATATATATATATATATCTCTCTCTTATACACATCTATATA